TGTGCCTCTTTCCCTCTTTTTGAACCTTTGTCCTCTTTTCATTGCTTTTCCTACGATTTTCCCGGAGCTTTTCCTGCGTTTTCCTTTAGCGGTTCAGAACATGTGTCGCCGATTCGTAACATCTCCGTGTGCAATTTCCAGGCAAGTTGCTCCCATTAGCCACATAATTTTAAGTGTGTGCGTTGCCCGAATTTCCCCATTTTCCAACCAACTCCCCCTGCCACTGCCACTGCCTCCGCCGCGTCGGCATCCCCCCCGCCGTTTTCCGCGGCTGTCGCGCAGAACGAGCTCATTTAATATTAAAAGGATTTATGAGACATTTTCCTTTCATTTTGACAACGAACCGGAGCGGAGGAGCGGCTGGGCGGCTGGGTGGCAGGCGGGGAGCTGAATGGCGAATGAAAATTTTGCCCCGTTGATGAAATTTTCGCTTAACAGAATTTGCGACGCTTCGCGGACGGCAACAGCAACGGCGCCTACGCACGGTTAAAGGGTTTTACTTTCTCCACCCCCCCATCCTGCAACATCCCTTTGCCGACACCGACCCTGCCCTTAGTGAAAGAACCCCCCTGCCCTTAGTGAAAGAACCGCCCCTGCCGCCCAATTTCCGTTTGCTATTGTTGTGAGCTCTCGGCAACTTTCTCGGCGATGGTTTAGCTTACGCCCGGGAATTATTTGAGTGCTTTTTGGGAAGGCGTTCCACAAACGCCCCGCTACCGATCCGATCCGGTTCCCTCTCTTCTTGCCCTTCGCCTCCTCCTTCTCTATAATCCCCTCTAACTCTCATTCCGGAGCGTGTGAAAGTGCAGACGCTTCTAAAAGCCCCATGTATATGGGTGTGTATGGGTGTGTACATTTTTGACAGATTTGAAAATTATTATGCAAAATGAATAATTTAGTTGAAAGTGTTAAATTGATTTGGCCTTCCCCACTAGCACAACATACTTCGGCTCAGCTCCGGAGGAGATGATGGAACTGATGGCAGTGTCAGCGTTCTTCCCCGCAGACATAATGCGAAAAGTCTCCGGAGTTGGTGCCGGCATATCGATGGCAGCAGCTCTATCAAAATGAAATATAAATGCCACTTGTCAACTGTCCTGGGAATCGATGAAAAGCGGCGATAGAGTGCATATTATATTGTGGTATTGTTAACTTTGGTTTAATGAAACAGATAGATGGATATAGGGGTTTCTTATAAAGTATAATTAATACTAAATTGCTTAGTAAAAATAAACTTGGATTTTAAAACTTATTTAAAACTTAACTCCTTACAAAACTATCTTTGCTATTAAACGGCAAATTGATTCTTAAATAGTTCAAGATAAATGCAGAATAATAGAGAATCGTTCCACGATTCGTAAAAGGTATCCTTTTTGGGAATCGGATAAATATTGGCAAAGATATGGTCATCCCAAGTGGCCCCATTTTCATGCTCCACGATTTCTCCATTTTCGACAGGGGTACCATCAGAAAAATTGATAAAAATGGGATCCAAGAATTTGTTGTCAGATTTTAATGCAGAATAATAGAGAATCGTTCCACGATTCGTAAAAGGTATCCCTTTTGGGAATCGGATTAATATTGGCAAAGATATGGTCATCCCAAGTGGCCCTTTTTTCATGCTCCACGATTTCCCCATTTTCGACAGGGGTACCATCAGAAAAATTGACGAAAATCGGATCCAAAAATTTGTTTTCAGATTTTAATGCAGAATAACAGAGAATCGTTCCACGATTCGTAAAAGGTATCATTCTTGAGAATCGCATGAATATTGGCAAAGATATGGCCATCGGAAAGGGCCCTATTCCCATGGCTCATGTTTCCCCATTTTTGACAGGGGTACCAAGCGATCATATCTTCAGATTGCCCGTTTTCCTATTTCTTCAGCAATCCACCTGAAAAATGGAGTTTAAAACTTAGAAAAGTTAAATATTTTTGATCTATTAAATCCTTCGAAAGAAAACTCCAACACTTTCTGTGTGTGTTTCGGGAACATTGTGACCCGCCTCTGTCGCGTCTATTTCGCATTATCCGGGACACGACCATTCATCTAAGGTTGACTTTCTTGTCAACTGCATTATAACCGTTCCGCCTTTAGTGATTTCGTGTGTCCTTCCAGCATCTCCACCCCCATTCCCTTATCTATCGGTTACGCCCCTCTTCCCCCATCTGGCCGCCGGTTAATCCCGCCCACTCCTGACGTCATTTGTCAAATTTTCGGCATTACCCGGCCAAAAAGACATGGCCATGGCCAAACATTGTGCCAGTTGTCTGCCCCACCCACTAGACGGCGATGCTACCCGCTACCCGCTCCGCGATGCCCTCATTTGGCATATCCTGCTGCTCATCGCAGTCCTTGTGGCTAATATTGACATTCCAAATCTGTGCTCCGCTGCGGTGGCCGTTAAAATGCCGTGTCACTTCGTTAGTATGCGTGTGTGGTTCCATTTGTATCTGAGTATCTTTGTATCTACATACTGAGGAAAAACTGGTTTATTTTATGGGAATATTGGGTTGGGTTATAAATGTTTAATTAACAAAAAAAAAAAGGAAGTTCAAAAAAATTTATAATCTTGTAGGAAGATGACTCTCTTTATTAGATTAGAAGTTAGATTATTAAATATCTTATTTCATATCTTATATTTTGAACTGTGTATCTCCTATTTACGCTCCTGTGAGTTACGGTGTGTGCGTGTATTTGTCTTGAGGTCGCTTTTGGAATCGGCATTCGTTCTATTTTTTCCTGGCCCCTAGTCCTAGTCCTCGGCCTGGGCCTGGGTGTGTTTTGTTTTTGATTCATGTCCTGCTATCAGCACTGGGCGTGTTCCCAAACTGTTTTATATATTTGATGATGACATTGCCGGCCGGGCAATCAAACTCCCTGCTTCAGTTTATTAGTTTAAGTAGCTTCATTTTGGGAGTGATTAGTGAAGGGTGGTGGTAGTGGTGGTGATGGTGGCGGTGGTGCTAATGGAGGTGGTGCTTAAAGGGGGCGGTGCCAAGTTCCAAACGGGAGACTGTGTAGCCACACACACAAAGTGCTGGCCACTGCAGTTTCAATCGCTTTTTAACAACGCTGCAATTTCTGAACCCATTTTGTGGCTGGTGATGATGAGCCACCGGGGGGGCGATGGCGATGATGGTTGGTTGGTCGGTGGTTGGGTGGTTGGGCGGTTCTGGGATGATGCCAGGGTTCAACGTTGTCTCGGACGTCATGTTGTTACAGTTACTTTCTTGCAGCGCACTCTCAACTTGATTTCTTCCTTTCTTTTTCGTTTTTGGTCTTGCAAATTGTTAGAGGGCCCGCCCGCGGAGCCTTATCCCTCCCCCCCAACCACAAGCCCCACTCAACCTGGGCTAAAGTGCAGCACAGACAAACAAAAAAAAAAAATAGTAAAGCGACAGGAAGAAGGAGACTGAAAATAGAAGCCAGGAGCTAGAAACTAGGAGATTGGAGCCAGAAGACAGGACTCCGGGACTCTAGGACTATGGGCCAAAGCGATTTGCCTTGCCAAAAGCTGCAGGACCAACTTTGTAGCTACTCCCCACTCTACCCCTCTCTCTTTCTATCCACCTCTAGCTATCTCTCTTCCGAGAGCGAGTGCGACGGCGACAGCGACAGCACAAGTGTTTTAATTTTACGACATTGTATGAATTTTACTGCTGGCACTGCAGAAACATCAGCACCGCTGTTACATATCGTTAGCTTCCTTAACGGACATATCCCACATCGCCTCGACTGTATCCCTTCGCAACCGTCCGCCCTCGCTCCCTTCATCCTTTAGGCCCCCCCTCGTCCTTTTGGCCCGTTGTCTGTGCCGTGCTCATAAATTGCAGCTTGCAAGCGTCAGTGCAATCAGCGTCATCAGCTTCATCCGGTTTATTCGAGGGTCCCTTGAACCGTGGTTCCCGGCGCGTCCTACCCTTCACATCCCAGTAACCAGTCGTGTTCAGAAGTTAGAGGCGAGGTCCCATGGGTTTACTTAGCTTGTGGGTAATTTTTTAAAAATTATACAAATTAAAAGCGTTTGGCTCTAGGTCTGGCTCTAGCTCTGGCTAGATGGCAGAATTTCTGGGCCCACTGTGCCTTAACTGCCGTCACTTAACGTTAACAGTTTACGCTTGCCTGCGGGCTAAAAAGGCTGGCGTTGCAATACAGCGAAGAGACACACACGCACACCCGTTTAGCCGGAGGGTAACACACACAAGAATACACTTCGAGAAGAATTCCACAAAAAGGACCTCACTTTTAAGGCTCATGAGCAAGTTAAAGTAGAAGAACCTCTACTCTCTTGAAGGATAATTATGTGAAGGTTATTCTCCACCCTTATTTCCTCGAACTGTTTTTCCTTATTGTTTTTCATAGATTTTTTTTCGAGTGTAGCAGATATACATATGCAGGCCTGAGGCAACCTTCTCGTCCTTGTCTCGCCATCATTTTCGGAGCTTGGTGCTCGACTGCCGCTGTTGCTGCTGCTGCTGCGCTAACTGCGTAAAGTTGGCACTTGAAACTGTCAGCTTAAAAATGCCAGCTGCACACATACACTCTCACTCACACTCACACCGACAGATACATAGACACAGATGCAGAAGATGGTGAATAAGGGGACATGCATGTAGTACATAAAATGCACAAAATGGTCGAACGACTCATAGCGAAAGTTGGTGGCCATAAGTTACAGGAGCTGCCTTCCTGCCATTCTGCCATCCTGGCAGCCATGAAAAAACTTAAGAGGCAAAGAGGCGAGTGCAGAAAAGGAAAAGGTCGAAGCCTCAGAGTCCCCCAGGCTTCCGAGAGGCTCCCAGATGTCTGAGGGGTCATAACTTTTGGGAGTAACCCGCGCGTATACTCGTATAAAATGCATATTTAAATACCCGGCCATTCCACTTAACCTTTCCGCTCATTACCAACTACATACTACATATACATACATATAAGGGAAAATGGTAACCCATTCTAATTTATTTTATTTTTATATTTTTCTTGGCTTTTGTTGCAGATGGTGACGAGAACGAAGAAAATCTTTGTGGGCGGCCTCTCGGCGCCCACCACACTGGAGGATGTCAAAAGTTACTTCGAACAGTTTGGTCCGGTAAGTTTCCCCCCAAAAATTTTCCTCCATTTCTATAGAACTATATAGTTGAGAGGGAGGGACCATGGCACATGCCAAAATGCTAAACGAAATGAAGCAAAATAATAATCATAAAAAATCAGAATGACAGGCAGTGGAGCAAATCATGCAATCTATTCGCAATGCGCGTGTTCTCTATACAAAATATATATATCGGGAAATACAGTCAAGGTTCTACTTATAAAAATAAATAATAATAAAATATTATACATCTACATTTAGATATAAGAACTATTAGTAAAATGATTGAAATATTTTTTAGAAAATAAATAAATTGGCCTAAAAAACTATAAAATACTGCCCTCAGTTGTATGTATATTTTTTTTCGGGGCCCTGGCAGAGGTGTAGATGAGGAGGGACCGCTGTAAGCAGTGACACCTTCACTGGCTGCCACTTGCTACGTTTTGTTTGATCAATAAAAACGCCAAAAAAAAATGAAAGAAAAAATATACGAAGCATTCAAATGAAAGAGAAAAACCTCTAAAAAAAATTCGTACCAAATTCAATCTTGACAAGTACTGCAAAGCACAGGACGACTCCACTGCCTCCACCCCCCCAACAGTCCTTGCAGCAACTCCACTTAAGCCCACACACACACACACATATGCATATCGAGTGTGTGCATGGGTGTGTGTTTGCGGCTGAGTGGTGTTCGAGTGCTCTTTAAGTTCTCCATTCAGCCATGTTGGGGAAAAAAGGCCGAAAATGGGGTGCCTGGCTAGGGTCTGGGAGGGCCTTTAGCTTTGCCAGACTTGTTATGGCGCACAAAAAAAAAAAAAAACATACACAAATTTTTAGCACGAGAACAAAAATGTTGTGTTGTTGATTACGATACTAAACGAAAATCGATTTGTTTGACGCTCTTCTTCCGCACTCCGTCGATTTTAATGAGCGATTCCCGAACCACTCGGATTTTCATTAACGAGCAGGTGATTTTCAAGAGCCAGATACCCCACTCATAAGAGTATTAAGGATTAAATTGTCTTTTCAAATCTAAAGGCTTTAAATTACATCCTTGGAAAGGACTCCCTTTTCGAGTTGAAATTGTTTGATTAAAGTATAGGTTCCAATATTTGACAATAATGCAAAAACCCGAGACCCTTGTTGGCTAAATGGAGTTTCGGAAATTCAATTCCCATCCTAAATGGAGTCTCTAAACTCCTGTTTCATAGCCCTTCATAAAAAAAGGGATGCTCTCCATCAAAAAAAAAAATAAAAACAAACCTTATCGAATTTCCCCAGTCACCCAGTGACAAATTTGAATGAAAACAAAAAAAATATTAGCCATATCGGGTAACAACTAAAAAATGCCATTATTTGTTTTTTTTTTTCTCTCCGGCAAATTACAGCCAAGTCTCCTGAGGGATTTCCCCTGATTTTCTCGCCATCCACCCACTCACCCACGCCTCTCGAATGAAATCCTACTCCTCGCGGCACTTGGGTATTTCGCAGGTAAAGCTTCCGATAATTGACATAAATTGGCGCAACTTTTTGTCAGCTCTTCACCGCAAGACGTCAACTGCCATTTGCAATGCTTCATTGCCCCGCCCACCACTGGCTATATATATAAAATATATATATATATATATATCTGTATAGCACTTGATAATGCGAATATAATGACGAGCCAGCCAGGGGGAGGTAGATCCATAAACGGCCATCAATCAAATCAGCGCTGAGAAGCAAAATGCTTTTAAGTAATTTTCATCATAGCCCCGGCGAAAACTGTCAAAATCCATAACGATCAAATAGTGAAGATACTCGCGATATATTGCACGCAAATCAACAAAGATATATATATATAGAATAGAATATATATATATATAAAGAGAGAAAGGTGAAAGCTGAAACGGAACAAAAGGACGCTGAAACGGTGAAACGATTTAACCAAGCGCGAATTCTTAATGGAAAACTTTTCAATTAATCCGCATTGGCAAAGGAAATTATAATAATAACTTGGCTGTGCGAGTGTATAAGCCTGGCCATAAGCTGTGCCGAGAAACTTTCGACAGGCAAACAAAACAGAAGCCCAGAAGAGCAGGTCCTTTTCCAGAGGATTTCCCCTGCTTCGTCCAGCACACACATACACACTTGGCCAAGTTATTGATTACAACTAATCCCCTTTGGCTTTCGCCTGCCGCCTCATTGGGCAAAATCTGAAAAAGGCCGGGGAACGGAGGGCCCGGTGGATGTGGCAGAGATATGGCAAGGGATTTCCGCCAGGGCTATAAACAAAATAGCAAAATGGCAACGGGCGGCTTAGTTTACCTCCCAATTTCCCCATTCGCCCATTTCCCCCCTATCCATTTTTGGCGGCAGGTGACCATCCAGGCGTTAATGACTTTAGCGGCCATTTTTCTTCCTTTTGCCCGTTGCCAGGATGAGATGAGAATGGTGAGATTGCTCCTGGCAAGATTGATTAGCCGGACAAGTCAGGGCGCGGCATTCAATATGATTAATAGTTGCATGCGTAGCTCCCACAATAGCAATAATAACAGCAGAGCCCGGCTTCCTACACTACACTATATATTTGTAAATGGAGTTTATATACAAGGTCCTAGATATTTATGACGCAGAGCTTCCAGCCAATTTCATGTTGCCAGGGCAACGGTGGGTATCTGTTCATATCCCCATTTTTCAGGAGTTTTTAGATGCCCTGTCTTTGTGGTGGGTAATAGTATTTGAATAAATTTTTAAAGTACTATATTTCTCAAACTAAAAACATTTAATTGCCTAAAGGTAACATGCTCTCAATTAGAGCCAAATGAACTCTACACGTAAATCCCAATGAAACATTCCAATGCCAAACAAAATCATTTCGTATCTGCACCTTTTCGTATCTGTAGGGCCTTAAAGTCCCATTCAAAAAATGTACGTTTTAAATGCAAATCAGAGAGAAAGCTCTACCTTTTTTCTATGTTTTAGCCAAATACAAAACCTGGCCAAAAACAGAAAAAAAGGTAAAGAACTGCCGGATAAACAAAGCAAAACGGACAAATTTCAAATTTTCCCTGCGCAAGTTTTTTCCCAGCAAATGTTGTATTTAACAAGCACACACATACACACAAGAGGGGTGGAAAATGGAAAAGTGCCACCCCAACTGACCTCAGATGCTGCAACCTTTGGCCACTGATTTTATTGCAACTGATGCAGCTGCTGCTTCTGGTAGCTGCTACTGGTGGCGCCGCCACTGCAAGTCCTCCGATAACGAAAATTCCACATGCCAGGGGTATGGAGCAGAGTCTTGGGGGGGACTGGGGGAATCAAAACAGAAACGTAAAGCTCGTTGGCTAAAAAATTGCAAATAAACTACACATTTTGCAAAGTCCCTCTCCGCATGGAAATTGCCGGAGCCAACAACTATCAGGATCTGGCAGCCAAGTCCAGTCATCTCCTCCTTACCCTCGCAACCCCTCGGCGCCTCTGGTTTTCACTGGCTTTTAAAGGTGTTTACGGTGTTTGCATTTCGGGCTGAGATCCCCTTACCGCTTACTATCCTCTTACCGCAAAAGGTTAGTAAATTTAAGCGCTTTTCATAAGCATTTTATGGGGGCCAGGACCTCCGATCCAAGTGGCCAGGCAAATGGCCAAAAAGTGCACCATCTCGAACAGTGACGGGGACAGTGAGGATATGGGGTCTTGGCCTGGCCAAAAAAAAAAACGGAGGAACAGGACGGTGGCAGTCAAATGTCAGATAACTCTATCGCTGCCACCCACTTAGGTATTAATTATGACAAATCATGCAAAGCAAAGCCAAAACGAAAACAGCTGAGCCAAAAAACGGAAGCCCCAAACTAATTTCATTAAAAAACAATTTTTTATGATTTAATTATGGAAAGGCAAGCGAGCGAGAAAATTTTTTTTTTTTTTTTTTTTTTGTAATAGCAGGGTAATGTTTATTTAAAACTGTCCATTAGGGACAACCATTAAATTTTATCACGTAAACTTCACGTATAGATATTTTTAAATATTAATATGGTAGAAAAAAAAATTAGAGTAGTAAGGGGAGGTCCAGCGGGTGTGTCCTTTTAAGTCTCCTGGGTTGCTCGCTGCTGTCCAGCAGGGAGCTGGCCAACCGGTTCGGGTGATTATGAAGCCTCTGCATGTAACGTGCGCTGCTTCTTTGTATCTCGTCCTTGACCCAAGGGAAATTGAGAACCTCGTGGATGGTGCGATTATCATGATAGACGTGGGCCCCAGTGGCGATTCGAAGGGCTCTATTTTCGAAAGCTTGCATAGTTCGGACATTCGTCTTGCTCGCAGTTCCCCAGAGCTGTATGCCGTACGTCCAGATAGGGCGTATTATTGCCTTGTAGATGAGGAGTTTTGTGGAAGTTCTCAGCTTCGATCTCCTACCCATAAGCCAGTAGAAGGATCGAAGTCTTTGAATAGCCTGTTTCCTCTTCTTAATCAGATGGGGCTTCCAGGTGAGCCTCCTGTCTAGGGTGAATCCCAGGTACCTGGGATTGTCTACCTGTGGGATTGGAGAGCCGTTAAGGTTAACTGGAGGGCAGTTGCCTTTGCAGAGAGAAAATGTGGAGGCAGTGGACTTCTCATTATTGACGGCAATGTTCCATCGCTTTTGCCAGTCGCTGAGCAAGTCAAGCTGCAATTGCATCGTATCGGCTGCCCCCAATGCGCTATCGGCGGTGGTAAGGAAGGCGGTGTCGTCTGCATAGGTTGCTGCGAGCAGGTCAGGCCTCTGAAGAACAGGGAGGTCGGCCGTGTAAGCATTGTACATCAACGGGCCAAGAACGCTGCCTTGGGGTACACCAGCGTGAGCTTCTCTAATACCGGAGATGGCCTCGCCACATCTAACAGCAAATTTACGGTCTTCCAAGAACGACTTTAGGAACTGGAAGTATGGTCGGGGTAGGCCAGTCTTTAATTTATATAGAAGACCGGGATGCCAGACTCGGTCAACAGCGAGAAAATGCACTGGGGAAAAAATCCTTTAAAAA